ACTTGAAATGGAAAATCCACATCCACAAGCATAGCAGGCAAGATTAATTCTGTTAACTCCTTGAAATCAGAGATGGAGTTCCAACTCCTTCAGCAATAGTGTGGCTTCAGAATCTCTGACACCCTCTTGCTCACAGTCCATGACCTTCAGACACTTCCTGCCAAAAGGATATTTTTTTGCCTGTTCCCATCAAAGTCTGAAACAGACAGTGAGTTCTCTGATTTAGGTGGACTTGGAAGACCCAATTTCTTACCAAATCTAGGAAGGCTATAGAGTAGAAGTCTATTCTATCTCCACTGCCTCACCTCCAGTTAATAGTCGACCCATCTCCAACACTCCGCAGGTACCACTCTGGCACTGAGCATCAGTGAACTAACTGTCAAATTTAATTTTCCCTTTCCAGTCCTCATCTTATTTGAATTTCTTTGGGCAACTGAAACCACCCCTTTCTTCCTCAAAGGTTTTTCTCCCTTTCCTTATAACTCCGTACTGTCCCATTTCCCTTATACTAGCCATTATTTACATGTCTTTGAGGACTCCTCCATTTCTGTCCCCCAACCCAGCCCCAATAATGTTGATAAAGCACAAGTCCTATCATCCTTTCATCCTCTTTGTTCTCACTTCCTGAATGATCTCATCCAATCCAGCAGTTTCAACCATGCCTCTCATTCGAGTGTTTCCCATATCTCCACACCCACCCAGACCATGTCCCTGAGCAATAGGGCCTGAGACCCAACCACCTACTGAACAACGCTGTACAAGTCGACCTCTCCAAAAGCACACTCCTTATCTCCTCTTCTTCACAGTTCCCCTCACAGAGGTTAGAGGCACCACCCCCTAATCAAGCCAGAACCTTTCATCCCTTCACCATCCACATCCACTTAGTGTCAAATCGAACATCTTGCCCTCTTTTCCATCATCGTTGCTATTCTTTGATTGAATCCGTCGTCCTTTAGCTGAACTATTACAATTACTCCTAGCAATTTTATTCCCCCCCTCCTCTAACGTGGCCTCCACATTGTTGCCAAACAGAAGCATATTTTATTACTTCTAATTTTTTAAATCCTTCTTTCTGTTCCCCATCACCTAGCAAATGAAGGCCAGCTTCTTAGCATATACAGTCCCTTACATTCAGGCTTCTATCTTCCTCTCAGACTCATCTCTCATTAAGTTCCTCACAGCACGTTGCACTCCAGTTATAACCAATTATAACAATGTTGTTTTCTGTTTCTGCCCTTTTCCAATGTTCTCTGCATCAGAAATATCTTCCCCTCAAACTAGCCCATACTCACATCAGACCTTTGTCTGCCTGGCAAATTCCTACCCATCTTTCGAGTCTCACTCACTTCCTTCATGGGACCTTTTCTGATGCTCCCCGTTAGATTTGACTGCCCCTTCCTTCTCTCATGACACCAAATCACTCCATTGTAACTGTTTGTTTACACTACCTGTCTGTTCGCTAATGAATTACATTTTTATTTTTTTAATTTGTAATTTCACACTAGCTGACATTTCACCTGGGACAAAGTATAAGCTCAATAAGTGTTTGTGTAATAAACATTGTTGCCAAAAAGTCATCATTCAATCAAGATTCAGAGAGACCAGTGGGATCGCATTATGTAGGATTTTACCGCAATAAACTAAGACTCAAGCTATTTTGCGATTTCATTTTCCATGTTTAAATAATGCACACACAACCCACTTAGTTCTGTTCTTTTTACTCTCATGCACTCTTATTTCCTAATACCTTACCCCAACTCTGAATCATCTGTTGGCCTTTATCTTTTTTCCTCAGGCAGCCACATTAAGTCCAATTATTCAAAGACTCAAAAATTCCGTTCCATTCGGTTCTTGGATCATCAGCCTAGCCCCTGACCCTCTGAAGTCTCACTGGACCCTTCCTGAAATATCAGGATCTAGGTCTACTCACCTAGCATTAATCAACCCTCAAATTTATATTTTTTTCCTTTAACTTATATCAATCTTATCTCATCCACACAATAAAGATAAGCCCGTCAGTTTTTATTACTATTGTTTTATGAGTGAAAAACAAATACTAAAAAAAACCCTGCGGATACCTATCCTTTTTAAGTCCTATATTTTAAAAAAGCCTGAAGAATATTAATTCTGTACTTTCTGATGTCCAGCCCACATATTAATTTTTCTTTAAAAACAATCTACCAAAGTCAAATCCTATTATTGTCCTTGAACCGTTGACATGACTTTAGTTTTGTATCCCAAACGATAGCCTCCCTGTGTGGGCTGGCGTTTCCACCCTGCTGATCTGATCCAGCTGAGCATTCCAAAGTAATCATTTTTCTCCCCCTTTCAACCCTATAATCCAATGACTTTGACAAAGGAAGCTATATCTTATGAATGTGACCCCAGAGTCCAATCCTCTGCAAAAATCTAAGTAAAACTTTCCCCATAACCTAGTTGTCTTTTTGAAAGGTGTTTTCTCTGGAACTCAGGCAATCATAACTAGATTACTCCCAAGCCAATTTTCTGTGCTTCTTCTCATCTTTTACCTTTCATTGCTTTCCTCTAAAACTAAGCAAGGGAAATGAGAGTCTGTGTAACTTGGTTAGCCAGGACTACTTTTCTAAAAACAGTGATAAGTGGAGGGAGACTCAAACTACTGAAGGGAAGTAAGATTTAGAATTACCTGCAGATTTTTCCATACTCCACTTCAACATTCTCTCATATTGTTCGCTGGCTTTAGTTCCCAGCCTCAAACCCCCTCACTTTAACTGTTCTCACTCTCCCCCTCCCCCACTGTGCTGTCCCTTACACACGGCATTCACCTCCTCTTCTGTTACTATAGAGTAGAAAGGGATAAACAAGTAGAGGTGGACACAAAATAGTTACTTTGACTGTCTTTGTTCACATTTCCATAGCTATAGCTCAGAGGAAACCCCCTTCCTACCTAAGCACAAGTAGACCCTTAACCTCAAAGCCTGAAAGGCACCTACCCCTCTCACTTTCCTCTAAAACAATGATCAACTCTACACGATAGCTCGGCTGGTTAGACCAAGTGCCAAGAAGCAGATTCAGGCCTTGAGAGGTTACCGGGCCTCTCCTGTTTCTGAAGGAACCTCTAACTCCCAGTCAATCATCTTACAGCTGTTTGTCAGTCGTCAGGAAGACTATAAATGGACCTGTGCACCATCATTTCTAAAAACACATCCAATCCCAAACAGGCTCAGTAGAATCCTCCCGTTTATTTAACTTATTCCCATTTTCAGAGGGAAATTCAAACTTGAGACCTCAAGGGATTGTCACATGCTATTTCTCGTTGGACACGGCTCTCCTGAACCTTTTGTCATCTCCCTGCCTCTCACTGCAATATTTCTGCCTTAGGTTGCAGACTCATTCCAGTCTTTCTAGGGGTACATGTGTAAAAGATGTGCTTATCTAAAGGATCAGCCTAGTTGTAGGGACCAAAATCATCATCCCGCTCACTGGCTGTCACCCACTGCACATAGATTCTTCATAATGTTACAAGAAGCTTAAGGCTTTTCACTTCAGAAAAGAAATACAGGCTGCATCTTGGGACTCAGGGCCAAAGGCAGGGTTTCAAGTCTGCCTATTGCAACTGTTCAACCGGAGGATGTCCAAGCAGCAGCATCTGCAGAAACCTGGAAGAATTATTCCCAGGTGATAGGTAAAGTTGAAAAATACAGTTTAGACAACTAATCATACTAATACACTGAGAAATTAAACACAGCTGTTTGTTAAGGTCTTGCCCTGACTGCCCCAGTTTCAGCACTACTGTGTGCTCGCAAACATGCCTGGGATCCTTCTCCGTTCCAGTCTGTTCTGGGACTTGTACTATGGGAGAGGAAGATGAAATCTAGGGATGACAGGCGATGTCTAGTAGGCAGACATTCTGTAATTCAAGCCTGGGTAAAACTCAAAAGTGACAGCATCATACACAAAGATGCAGGGTCTGACCTTTCTTCCCGGAGGGACTATTAGCTACTCTATTTTTGCTACATAAATGAAAATGACCCATCACCCTGATTCCTAGCAACCTTTCTAAAAACAGTATCCACTGCTCCTATCCTCCCCAACATAATCCTCAAAGTAGGTCAGAAATGTTGCTTCCTTCCCCTTATTGATTTTCATTAAGAAGATGCACTTTCTGGAACACTAAAGGGAAAGATAAACACCCAATACAAGTACAGTGACACCCCTGTAAATTTTTGGCACAGCAAATCCAGTTACCCTAAAAGCAAGAGAAAATCTCATCACCCATAATTTATTCTTCTTGGCTGTATAGCAACAGTATCTCAAGCAATAAAATACACAGTGGCAATGCTTCAGCCAGGTGATGAACACCTCCCAAAGGAGCAAATGCATTCTGTCTTTTTTGATTTTCTAGATCACCAGCCCGCCTCTTCCCTAAATACACACTCCTTTTTTCTTCCTAACTCAAATCCATGTTTTGCCAGAAGGATGTCAAGTGACACCACACACTGGCTTAGCAGACCCCCAGGGCCTTCTCAGGAAGCTGAGTGCAGGAGAGTCGGAAGGAGCGGTTCGTAGAGACCTGGGAGTGAGGGAGGAGGAGGTGGGGAAGAGCGGGAAACCCTCCGGTGGCGGTATCTGGCTCTCTGGAAAAGCTGTGAAGAGGCCGGTCTCCAAATCCCACTGGCAGGGCTTCCCTAGTCTCCTCGTCTAGCTGAAACCTCCCTCGGCCCCAAGTCCTCAAGCCTGACACTCCAAAGAGGGCGCCGCAAAGTCCTTCAGAGCCCTCAAAACACAGGAGAGCGAATAGAAAAGCATCACCCCAAAGACAGTAAAGCCACACACCCCCCCAGCGGCCAGCCTCCCCGGGCGGGCAACTTCATCCCATGAAACAAACAAAAACCCCTGTCCTCCCTGGAAGGAAAGAGGCGACGGCAGACAGCAACAAGCATGCACCACCCTAGCCCAATTTCACGCTCCTTCCTCCCCCTCCCCCGCTAACTCCAGGTAAAGGACCAGGTGCGGCTCACCTCCTGACAAGGAGGAAGCGGGCGGCTGGAGGAGGACAGGTCCCCCGCCCAGGCCGCCTGGCAGCCGGCGAGCACCCAGCAGCAAAGCCAGGCGGGGCTCCAGGAAGGCGAGAGCCCGCAGCGGGGAGCCCCCGGCGGCCGCCCCCGACCCCTCCTGCGCGCCGGCCCCGGGGCGCGGAGCAGCATCTCCGTCCCGCTAAGGTCGGCGAGCTGGCGGAAAGGCAGCTTCCCCGGGTGAGACGCGCTCCGCTCGCCACTCGCTCTTGCCCTGCCCGGTCGCTCGCTGACAGCTCAGCTGCGCTCGCGGCCAGGGCAGCGGGCGCCGGTGCTCCCGTCACGCTGGAGGGAGGGACCGCGGGGTGCGGCGCGGGGGCGGGACGCGGGGCGGGGACGCGGGATCCGGGGAGCAGGTGGCGCGGGCGCCGGCGCGGGCTGCGGCCCAGCCCAGCGCGTCCTAGGGGGCTGAGCGGCCACCTGGGACGGCAGCCTCATTACGCTGTAGACAACGAGGGAGGCCGGGGTCCCCGGCAGTGTCTCTGATCCTCAGTCCCCGAGGCCCACCAGAAGGGGCGCTCCACGGAGGAGCCAGAGTGAAATACAGGACATCAAGACATTGTTTTCCGGCGGCGGATCTTTAAAATCTACTTCCCGAATCTCACACAAACAGACACAGATGCACCCTAGAAACATCCCTTCTTAAGAATCCAAACTAGCTAGCGTCAGATAGAATTTTTAGGTGATTAGGGTTTGCGTGAAATGGCGAGGAAGAAAGGGGAATGAAATATAAATGCAGTTCGTGGGTCAGTTTTCTCACCTTAGTTGATGAAAATCATACCTATACCTAACCCACAGGGTCGTTATGAGGAATCAATTGATGTACATAAAGCACTTGCAGAGGGCCTGGCAAGCAGACGTAGTATGTGTTGTTGGTAGTAGTAGTAGAGTAATTACTGCTGTTGTTGAGGTTATTTTATGGAAATAACATGTGCAACCTTAGGCAGGTAAGCCCTTTTGTTTCCGGAGGAAGCAGTTTCCCCATCTGTACAATGACTGGGGTGGTCTTCAAAACCATACTGACCTGCTTGGTGGGCATCAGCTGGTAAACAAGATGGGCATGATGCCTTGTCAGTGTTGAGGATCTCAAGGGTCCCTCCTCAGTCTAAAATTCTATGAATGGCTGTTACCCTGTTCTTCAAAAGGGCCACTCGAATTTCTGATAACTGAGTACCAGGGAGGACAGGGGTAACTTATATTGACTGACTCCATGTAAGTTGACTTGAATTTGTTTGTGGCCCTGTCTCTGAGGTCTTTTCAATAAACATTTCCACATGACACATGAAAGTTTTCAAAATTTTTTATTGATTAATGAGAGAGAGAGAAACATTGCTTTGTTGTTCCTATTTATGCATTCGTTCGTTGCTTCTTGCATGTGCCCTGACCTGGGATGAAAGCGCAGACTGAGTGTTTCAGGATGACACTCTAACCAACTGAGTTAGCCCTCCAGGGCTGTGAGAGCTTTATTCTTCTCTCCTATGTGTTCTGATGATAACAATAATGTACATTTATTGTAAATATTGTGGAGGACATTCAAGAGTATCAGGAAGAATATAAAACTTAGGGATCCCACCGTCCAGAGATGACACTATTAATGGTATTACCATCTTGAGGAATTTCCTTCTCAGTCTTTTATACGACTGTGTACTGAAAATCTGGAATTACAATTTTTTTTCAATTCATTAAAGTCTGACAACAGAGTTTTAACAACTGTATAATATATTCCATTTGGATATATGTACTTTCCTATTGGATGTTAGGCATTGTTTCACAAGTATTCAATGTTATAAATATTTCTAGAATTAATGCCTTTGGTACATAGCCTGTGTATTTCTAAAGTTTTTGGTGAATACTGCATGAATTCCCTCCAAAAATTTTGTATTAGTTGTTACCAAGAGTTTATGGTACTATTTCACAGCATTCTAGGTTATATTTCATATATTTGCCATTTGGGAAGAAGAAAAAATGTTTTATTAGTATTTTTAAATGTATTTTTATAATTAGTAACATTGAATAATTTTTCATATACATTTACTGACTGTATTTTTTTTCTCTCTTGTCAGTGTGTGTGAATTTTCCACTGGCATTCTTTGACCATTTTTTTATTGAAGTTCCATATTTTTTATTAATTTGTAAGCAATCTTTATAAATCTTGTGGATTACACCTTTACTTACCATTTATGTCACAAATACTTTTTTCAGTTTGTAGTCTTCTTAACTTTGTTTCTGGTGACCTTTTTTTTACAGAAGATTGACATTTTAACATATTCAAATATAGCAACGTTTCTTTTTGTGATTTCTTCCTTTGTTTTATGCTTAGATGTACCTGTACTTCTGCAAGATAATATGAATGCCTATATTTTCTTATTTTATTTTTAAATATTTTTTTAATCTGTCTAGGATTTGAGTCAAATTATATTATTATTTTTGTCATCTAAATGAGACCTAACAGCGTGGCTAATGGGTTGAAAATAGTTTCTTTTCTTGTCAAAATAAAGGTCATTCCAGTCAGTACCCCTAGGTTAAACAACAGTTGCAGATTTTCCCGAGTCGTACAGTTTGCTACTGTCAATAAATAATTTTCTCATAGGAGTCTTACCTAGTGAAAACATCTTGACCTTAAGTAATTAAAACCAGCAAACAGACTTTTAGAGAAAAGAAAACACACACAAAAAAAAACATACGATTCCTTTCTACTTGTTATTTCTGATTCTAATAGCAGACTGTTCAAATGGTTTTGATTACCTGATCAATAACTTGGCCCTTAAAAGCCTAATTTTTCAAAAAGTACTTCAATTAAAAAATTTAAAAATTCTTAATGGAATTGGGGTGGAGGTTGACTCTGAAGGTTTAAAAAGTTGGAAGTCACCAAATGGTCATGGATTTTCCACTTTACTTTATGCAATGTGTACCTGAAAATTAAACCAAACTTTGTTAACAATCAACAGATGCTGTAGCTGTATCCAAATGATGTTAAACACATAGATTTGCTTTATTTTTTCAACTGAAATCAGATTATGGTATAAATAACACCAATTTTCTAAAGATTGTCTAAATACACAAAGGTGAGGAAAAAAATCTGCATGACTTCAAATAGCATGTTTTTTTAAAAATCAGTTTTTTAACCATCAAAATGAAAAAATTAGATACAGAAAACACTTTATATTAATTAGCAAAGAGATAACTTTGACAAATATATGTTGTTGGTTTTACACTTAAGAGAACAGGTATTTCTGGAAAGCAATTTAATATCTACTAAGAGCCTTTAATATTTTTATGCCTTAATCCAGTAATTTTTACTTCCAGGACTCTAATTTAAGTAACTAATAAACAAGGAGCACAAAGTTTCTGTGCAAGAATACTCACTGTTGTCTAATACAGTTAAAATAAGATAATCTATTGTGCCCCAAAATAAGCAAATGGCTAAATGAGTTGGGGGTTTTTTCACATGATAGGATTTTATAGACATTGAAAATTATGTTTTCCAAAGAATATTAAATGAATTAAGGAAATATTAATATTACATATAATATTAATGTAAAAAAGCTGGAAATAAATCTTAATAAACAATATATTCCCCAGAACACTATGTGTTGGGGAGGGGAGCACAGAGAGGGATTAAGTAAGTAACTTTATGGAAGGAACATGACTAGAAGGAAAAAAATATGTTACGGTGATACTTTTTTTCATTTTTATTGAATTTATTAGAGTGACATTGGTCAATAAAATTATACAGGTTTCAAGTGTACAATTCCATAATACATCATGTGTATATTGCATCGTGTGTTCACCGCCCAAAATCAACTTTCCTTTATCACCATTTATTGCCCCTTTACCCTCTTCTACCACCCCCACCCTTCCTTTCCTCTGGCAATCACCATACTGTTGTCTGTGTCTATGAGTATTTTTATTTTCTTTGCTTAATCCCTTCACCCTTCTCACCCAGCCCCAACTTCTTCCCCTCTGACAGCTGTCAGTCTGATTTCTACCACCATGAGTCTGTCTCCACTTTGTTAGTTTCTTTTGTCCATTAGATTCCACATATAAATGGTATTTATCTTTCTCTAACTAGCTAATTTCACTCAGCATAATACTCTCCAGGTCCATCCATGCTGTCTCAAAAGGTAAGATTTCCTTCTTTTTTTATAGCTGAGAAGTATTCCATTGTGTAAATGTACCACAGCCTTTTTTTTAATCTCACCTGAGGACGTATTTTTTAATTGCTTTTATTGGGGGGGGGGCAGTGGGGAGAGAAAGACAGAAACATTGATGTGACAGAGAAACATCGGGTGGTTGCCCCCCATATGCACCCAGACCAGGAATCATTTGTGCCCAGACTGAGGATCCAACCTGCAAGCTTTCGGTTATAGGACTGCCCTCCAAGGGAGCCACCCCAGCCAGGGCAGCTTTTTTTTTTTAATGCCACGGATACAGTTTTAATTTGGACACAGACTCTTTAGAAAGCGTTCACTCCACCATTTGAGATTTTCACCTTCTAGGGCTGCAAGTCCAGGAATAGAGAATAGCCAGGAATAGTTGTGGAAGAGTCTTATGTCAATCATCGGACCCCCGGCTTCACAAGACATCTTCTGGGGCTCGTCTCCAGGCACACTTAATAAAAAGCCCATCCATCTTTCACATGACCACCAAAGCCTCCCTTTATCCATTCGTCCACTGATAGACAACTGGGCTGTTTCCAAATCTTGGCTATTGTAAATAAAGCTGCAATGAACATAAGGGTGCATACAGTATTTGGCATTTCTTCGGACATATTCCCAGCAGTGGAATCACTGGGTCTATCATAAGGCAGTTGCATTTTTAATTATTTTAGGAAATTCCATACTGTTTTCCACCAACAGTTCACAAAGGTCAGCAGTGATAATATTTTAATGGTGGCTTACCAATGTTTTTCCTTTCACTTTTACAGATATTTCTCATTTTCCTATAATTATCCTATATTATTTTTATATGAATTACTTTAAAAGTTTCTGTTCTTTGATGTTAATTAGTCCGACCTGAAGAACTCATCAAAGATGTATACAAAAACGTAAGGACAAAAATGTTCATTAGTGTTATTGATAAGAGAAAATAAATGAACCTAAATATCTAATACTAGGGAAACAGTTAAGTGA